GGGCTGTAAAGCCACTCTGTAGGCCAGCAGGCCCTGGAACAATCCTCCCTAAGACCAAACGCCACTCAAGCAATGACCTCTTTGCAGGAAGATTTTCTTTCTTTGGCCTCCAGATGGCTCCCCTTATGTCACTGAAACACACATCCCTTAGGGGTGAAGCTGGCTGGCGTAAAATGTAAATGTGTTTAAAATGAAGGAGTATGAGTGGCTTTGAGCTTGAGGGTTTCAAGGCTTTGGTGCGTTACCTTTGAGGATCCCCAGGCTATTACAATAACTCCTTACTTTGTGCCTGAAGAGGGTGACAATGAACCCCTATCTCTCCTCCTTAGCCAGGGAACCTCCCCTTCTGTCCCACTGGGCCTCAGGGGGATGGGAGCCAGCGAGAAGTCTCACGTGTGCTTTTGCCACCTACTCTGATCCTGTGTTTCTATGCAGAGGTCTCCTCGGTTAGAGGAAACAAAAGCTGCTGCTAGCTCCTCCTCTAGAACTCAAAACACAAATCCTTACCAGGGTTAACGAGGGCCCAAAGAGTTCACCTGGGACAATTTCAAGAACAATAGTCATGTAATTATTGCAGCATTATTCACAATAGCCGAGATAGGGAATCAATCTAAGTGTCCATCAATAGATGAATGGATAAGAAAATGTGGTATATACACATAATGGAATACTATTCAACCTAAAAATAAGAAAATCCTGTCACGTGCAACAATGTGGATGAACCTGGAAGGCATTATGTTAAGTGAAATGAGCCAGGCACAGAAAGACAAATATCACATGATCTCACTTATATGTGGAATCTAAAATAGTTGAACTCATAAAAGCAAAGAGAATGATGGTTACTAGGGGATTGTGGGATGGGGAGGATTGGGGAGATGTTGGTCAAAGGATACGAAATTTCAGTTAGATGGAAGGAATAAGTTCAAGAGATCTATTGTATAACATGGTGATTAAATTGCTAAGAGGGTAGATTTTAAATGTTCTCACCACAAAAACATAAGTGTATGAGGTAATGCATATATTAATTAGCTCAATTTAGCCATTTCACAATGTATACGTATTTCAAAACAATATGTTGCACACCATAAATATATACACTTTTTGTCAATTTAAAAAAGTAACTTTAAAAAATAGTCATGTAGTGATTTAGCCATTTCACAATGTATACATATTTCAAAACAATATGTTGCACACCATAAATATATACACTTTTTGTCAATTTAAAAAAATAACTTTAAAAAATAGTCATGTAGTCAGTAAGTCAAACTGCTGTTTTCCCAACCTCCCTGATAATTTAGCCATTTCACAATGTATACGTATTTCAAAACAATATGTTGCACACCATAAATATATACACTTTTTGTCAATTTAAAAAAGTAACTTTAAAAAATAGTCATGTAGTCAGTAAGTCAAACTGCTGTTTTCCCAACCTCCCTGATCTTTTAACTTCTGCTGCTGATTAAGCCCAGCAGAAATCAGGGGAAGATTCGATGAAGTGATGAACTGAAGCTCAATCTCAAAAGACAGGGTTTGTAAGAAAGGAGAGAGAGAATGGACTGAGCAAACATGAGATGAAGTCCCAACTCCTTGTCATGTACTACAAGGCCCTGTATGGCCTGGTCCCTGTCATCCTTTGCAGTCTTCCTTTGAGCCACCTGTTCATTTTGCTCCACTGGCTGATTTTGACAAACACCATGCTTTTTCTGACTTTAGGGCTTTTACCCATACAGTTCCCTCTTCCTGGAATGCTACATATCCCGTCTCCTTTTCCTGGAAGATTCCTACATGTCTTTGGGGGCTCAGCTCAAATGGCACTTCCTCAAGGAAGCCTTCCTTTATCTTCCCCCACCCCATCTAGAATGACTTTCCTTGCTGCACTAGTCCTTTATAGCACTTAAGAAAATTCTCATAATTATTTGTGCAGTGATGTGTTCAATGTTTGCCTCTCCCACTAGACCAGTGCTGTCCAATAAAACTTGCTGCAATTATGGAAATATTCTAGATTTATGCTGTCCAATATGGTAGCCACTAGCCACATGTAGCTATGGAGCATCTGAAATGTGGTTAGTGCAACTGAGAGACTGATTTTTAAAACTGCTCATATTTTATATTGTATATTATACTATATAAATTATTTCATGTACAAATTACATAATTTAAATTAATTAAAGTTTAATAGCCACATGTAGTTATAGCAAAGACATGTGGCTATCATATAGGACATTGCATCTCTAGATTGTGAGCTCCTTAAGTGCAGGTACCATTGTACCTTGTTCAGTTGTAGAATCTTTCATACCAAGGATGATACCCAAGTAAATCAATGAATGAATGAGTGAATCAATCAACCAATCAATGTATTCTGCAAAACTTGCTTTCAAAAAATCATCCTAGAAAGGGAAAACCCAGAAAAGTCTGACTTACACAAGGTCATACAATAAAGCAGAACTGGATGCAAAATCTCAGCTTCCGAAATCTTCTGTACATGGTACTGTCCCTGAGTGGACAGCAGGTGAAAGATAAGGGTTGTTTGTTGTTTCAATGAACCACCCCAGAACTGAGTGAAGGTGCCTCCAAGTGCAAGAAAGGGCTGTTTTCTTAGGCACCCTCATCCCCTTTCCCCCTCCTCCGACCCTGTAAACTACTTAGTGGGTTATAATCTATTAACACTCAGCTTCCTACAGGACTGAGCCTGTTCCAAAGTCCACTCTTGCCAACCTTCTACAAGGCACTCTGAATTTTTTTTAACCATATTGCGCTCAGGAAATCTGCTGCCTGCAATCTGTGCATAATATTCACAGGGTGTTGTTTTAAAAACATCTAAGTCGTGATTTATAACCCACTCAGATTCACTAGGCTAGTCCTTTTAGCTTACTCTTTCTTATATAAATTGAAGTCAACAAATTTCAGGGCTAATTCTGACTTCATTCAAATATGGTTTGGTGTTTGCAGATTACAATTTTTGGAAGTCCAGCACAGAGAACCTACATATTTTTTTTTCATAAATGATTTTTCAGATATAATATTAATAATAGTTAATATGTGTTGAGTGCTTTGTGTCTGCTAAACATTTAGCACATATCTCATTTGATCTTTACAATAATCCTATGAATCAAGTACTATTATGATCTTTATGGCTAGAGAAACTGAGTCTCAGAAAGGTTAAGTTACTTGTTTAAAATCACACAGCAGAAAGTGGCAGAGTCAGGATTTGGACCCAAGTCTGTCTGACTCAAGAACCAATGTTCTCAACCAGTATACAAGTTGGTCTCTGTAATATGTATTGTATGTATTTATATTCATCAGAAGGAATGATCAAGAAACTTAACTCTGGGGAATAAGACTGGGGTTTGGGAAGAGAGAAACTTACTTTTCATTCTTGTGCTTCTCTTTGAACTTTGTTTACCATATATACTATTTGGTACATTACATTATGTATTTATATAAGAAACTAAATTAAAATTAAAATTAAAATAAGTAAAAACCTCTTTCAATTTTTACTTTTTTTAACTAAGGAAGAAATTGTCATGATAATATCATGTCTATATATTAGTAGATTACATATACACTAATCTTTTGCAAAGTTCATATACTCTGACATTATTTGAAAATTTATCTCAGTACAACTGCAGTTCCAGTATGTATTTTTATTCTAAGTACCAAATTTCATATTTCTGTCTTTGATATTTTTAAAATTTGAGGATAATAGTTTGGTTTTTCAGCACGAGATTTATTTTCAATGAAAGTGGTATGTTTTCTTTGAGAGATTTGCACTCAGACATTTACATTTTTATGTACTCATACATCAACCTCTGGATATTATAACTGAGCATTCCTTAGCATTTGTGAAATAATGCTGTATTACATAACAAAATATGCTATTTGTGGATCAATTAATAAAAGCTTAAAAGTAAAATTTAAATTAATTAACATTTAAAAATGAAAATTAATTTTACACTTATTGAGAAACAAACATTACAATCCCCTTCAGTACTCAGAGCCTCAGAGAGCTGTATCAGTCACACTAAAAGTCACTTGGGAGAATTCCTCAATAGCTTAGAGGAAAAAACACACCATTTTTTAAGTCAAGAAAATACACACATGCTAAATGATAACGTATCCTTTCCAACAAACCCAAATAGAGTCTACTGTTACCATCCAAATGGCTAGTGATTCCAAAAATTAAAGCCCCCCCCAAAATGCTCATTTTAATGCCCCCTCTCATACTCTTGACTTGCTTAACAAATCACCATCTGCTTGTAGTAGGAAAAATCCGTTAGCCCCTCTAAAAGGCCCCTGTCCTTTCCATTGCTTGGTCCTTTTCCCCCAAGATTATCAGAGCAAATTTGGTGTCCCTTAAAAATTCTTATCCTCAAAGGACTGTATTCCTGGTGTTCACAATGGTGAGTCTCACTCTAGCTAGCTGTTACAAAAACCTTTCATTCAGAAGGAGGCAAGAGGTTTCAGCGACAGTGCACAGCCCTCTCATTCACACAGTCATAAACAACAGGACTTCGCCTAAGCCTCTTCTCTGGAAGGGAATCCTGGCTTTTTAGAAACCAGTTTGCAACATCAGTATCATTGCCTTCTGAAAGACCTTGCAGAGAAATTAGGAATTTCACAGCATAGGAGAAGGGCTGGAAAGAACCCATGTCATTGCATAGACTCATCAATCCAGTCCACATTTCAAAACAGCAGCTAATGCTTTCTTAAAGCACAGACCTCAAAATCCCTTTAGGATTGAGAGCAACTAAAAGGGAAAGCATAACATTCGTGGCTCCCCATAAAATCCTGACGGATCTGAAAAAGAGTCACAGATACAGAGGCTGGGATGTTGGGTTAGGAAAATGGCTTGTCTCCTCCGGGCCTAATTCCCTTCTCAGAAACAGTTCCCTTTAAATTCCAGAAGCCGTGCAGAGATGCACCCCCCTTCCCACCCACCGGAGGTTTTTGTTTTTTAAAAGAAAGCCTGTCTGCCTCTTACTCGCCCCCATAATACTCACGGCAGCTGCCTGAGCTGGAATAAGTCCTCCTCCATGTCCGCGCTGTGCCAGGACGAGCCCTTTTCATGGCCCTTACATGGTAGTGGTGGATGATGAGCGCTTGGGGCTTCAGCACCGGGATGCCGGACAGCTCCCGCGCCGCTTCCTCGCTCTTCCGCCGGCAGCTGTTCGGGGGAGGGAGCCGCCGGGGACCAGCCCACGAGACAAAGCCGCCACCGCCAGGAGACCGCGGCGAGAGTGGGCGGAGAGGAGGGGGCGGAGGGCAGAGCAGGCTGTGCGGGGAGAGGGGGCGGGGAGGGCCCTTCTGCTTGGAGGAGCCACAGCCTCTCTGTGGCTGGTGGTGCTTTGCTGGCGTGCCTTGGGGCACAGCAGCCTCAGAAATGGCTGTCGAGGGACCAATGAGCGCCCTTTGGTTGACTACACCTCTTTAATGTTTATTTGTAGGTATTCATTAATGTTATTAGTATGATCCTCTTAAAATCCAGGCTGCTATAACAAATACAGGTATGCATTTAAAATACATATAGTCATGCATTTAAGTACTTCTTATTGAGCACCTTCTGTGTGCCAGTCACTGTAATAGGCACTGGGCATATGACAGAACAAATTGGATATGTCATTGTCATCGTGGAGCTGAAGGTCTAGTGAAGTGAATCAATAAAAAAGTAAATTATGAGAAAGCCAAAGTTCACTCATTAATTCTCTCAACAAGCATCACTGAGTGGTTTCTACAGCCCTGTACCAATGAGCGCCCTTTGGTTGACTACACCTCTTTAATGTTTATTTGTAGGTATTCATTAGTGTTATTAGTATGATCCTCTTAAAACCCAGGCTGCTATAACAAATACAGGTATGCATTTAAAATACATATAGTCATGCATTTAAGTACTTCTTATTGAGCACCTTCTGTGTGCCAGTCACTGTAATAGGCACTGGGCATATGACAGAACAAATTGGATATGTCATTGTCATCGTGGAGCTGAAGGTCTAGTGAAGTGAATCAATAAAAAAGTAAATTATGAGAAAGCCAAAGTTCACTCATTAATTCTCTCAACAAGCATCACTGAGTGGTTTCTACAGCCCTGACTGAGGAATCAGGATAAGACAATGTTTCTGCCTTCCTTTGAGATCCTCCCTGTCTAGTTCAATGGTATCCTTGACCCTCCTCTCTAGAATTCCTGCCTCCTTTAGAACTTAAGCTTTGTGAGACTTCTCCGATGTATCCCAAGTACCTAGAACAGTGCCTGGCACATAGAAGATGCTCATTAAATATTTATTTATTGAATGGTTCTCAATTCGAGCTAAACACAAGAATCACCTGGCTCCCTCTCAGACCAATTGAACTCAACTTTCTGGATGTGGGGTCTGAGCCTGGGTATTTTTAAAAAGCTCCCCAGAAGGCTGGAGTGAAAATCTCTGATCTAGTGTGAACAAATGAAGAGAAGAGAAATTATGCAACAGAAACCTACAAAGATGACCCATGATGGCACCTGGCTGGAAGTATGAGAACAATAATCAAATGGAGGCTCACATGGAAGAGAAGGAAGAAGGAAACATTTTTTTTCTTTAATTGTTGTCTAAGTGGGGGAGAGGGTTTGGGAGAGGGTGCAAGAAAACCAATCTGAGAACTGGAAACAATCTCACATCAAACAAACATCACAATCTCACATCAAGTCCAAAAAGGACCTGAGAATTCAGAGTTGAGTGTGTACCAGGCAACCAAGAACGTGCTTCATCCACATTGTTGCCCTTGATCTTTGCAACAATCCTATGAAGCAGGTATGATTTATACCCTCTTTTTACAGATGAGAAAACAAGACTCAGAGAAGAGCAAGTGACTTGCATGAGGTCGCCCATACAGGAAAGAGTTGATCTGGAATTAACACCCAGGCTTCTCCAGTCTGTTTCCAGAGCCCAGACCTTTAAGTGCTAGGCCTTCTTTGAGAATCTCAAAAGAAACCATCCATTGTGGGTATAGTAGAAATTTTAATTACTGAAACATTGAGCAACTTTAAACAAATTGAATGTTGGGGAAACCAATTAGGCATTGGCACTATTCATCCAGCAAATATTAATTAAACAACTCTGTGCCTTACACCATGATAGTTTGTATCAACTTATTCGTGGCTACTTCTGACCTCACATGGGAGAGAGTCAATTACAACAGCTTGCCCCACCTACACTCATTTCTAACAGAATCTACCTCTGCTGTGCACACTTGGTATCACATGACTCCTATCCACAGCTGATTGGCTCAGGGGTTGGACACTAACCTACAGACATCTAATCCAAATGCGTGTTGGTAGCCCTGGTTGCCTATCTGGGAAAGACAGTTGGGCATTCTGGTACCTTTCAGTGATAGATTCAAATGTCTCCAAAGGCTTTTGCTCTACCTACCCCTCTTTTCCCTCAATCCTTCTAGCCAGGTGGGGTTCTGCAGGGCTCTGAGACTATTCAGTGTGCTTATCCTAATTAGTCCCCTTACCAGCCAATTTTAGGTTAAATTCATTTTTGGAAGTTCAACAGAGGTGCACTCAAGTTCCTTCAGAAAAAGGGAGTTTGAGGCCAGAACTGGAAGAGTTGTCAGATCAGGACCAGCCGCAGGAACTCTCTTCCAAGCTCCACCTCTTACTGGGTGGGTGACCTGGAGCAGGTTATCTAATTTTCTGTGCCTGAGTTTCCTCAGTAATACAGGAATAAATAATTGTACCTACTTCATAGGGTGGTAATGAAGATCAAGGATAAAATACATACATATTGTGGGGCACATATTAAAGACACAATAAAGTGTTAGCTGTTATTATTATGTATCTCTCTTTGCCCCTATCCCCAA